TGAAGAAAAAGAAAAACCAAAAACAAATATAACAATATACCTTCTGAAACAGTGAGCTTAGAAAATAATGCAGCAGATGGCTAGACAAAGTGTAATATGAAACTATGTTCATTGAAAAAATGTGGAAATATAAACCTTTCTGAAAAATTATAATAAGCCCTTTACTCCATCTACTCTTATTAGGTATTTCATAAATACCACAAGAGATTGGACACAGTTTGTGATGAAACTTAGAAAAATTTCTTTTTCCATAAAGCAAATGTGTAAATCTTTCCCTTTGGCTCTTCTTCTCCTCCCTGTGTTGAAAAGATACTGAGTTCTAGATTTTTGGTTAGTGGGTGGTTTCCAAACTGACTAGACTCTCCAAGTAGTTAGCTCTGCAAAATGCCCTGGGTTTGGTCTCCAGCAGAGAGAGATGACCAAAATTTTAACTATGAATTCATGGTATTGTTATATGGCATTTAGGAAGACTTCCACAGGGTGGGAGAGAATTCCAGTCTTTTCCAGTTAAGAGTGACACAGGGTTTTCCTGTCACCGTGTCTAACTCTGAAAACAAATCTCAGCCAGTTCATGTTTCACGTGCTTTGTCCACGAACAGATAAATCTTCGAGAAGCACAATGTACCAACTGTGCATAGTCGAAGGGTATTGAGAGCAGAGTAGGTTTTCTGTTTATTTAAATACTTGGGTAAACAAGGATCCAGAGCAAGCCTGTCACTCCCACTTTAGCAGTTTTTTGGCATTGCTGTCCCAATCACCTTCTTTATGACCATTTTCCATGGAAGAATGAGTAAGCTATTGTCATGATGTGACTTTGGTCACCTCTGTCTGTACTGTGCAACCGCAATTTGATTTTCTCTTAAAGATATCAAACCGGAAGCTGGCAGTACAGCATAGTGGTAGAGCACATGCGTGGTAGAGCATATGCTTAGTAGAGCATATGCTTAGTAGAGCATATGCTTAGTATGCATGAAATCCTGGCTTCATTCCCAAGTAAACAGCAAACACTAACTCTACTGCCTTTCTGAATTGCTACCATTGTCCTTGATGATTTTCATACCTAACTTAGGTTTTCCTTCTATTCTGACGCTTGCTGTCATCAAACAAACAATAAAAAAATCCCAAAAAATCATATTGATGTCTTCTCTGACTTCAAAAATTTTCAGTTAAGTTCATTTTTGCCCACTGCCTTCTTTACCTTCATTCACTATGTGTCCAGACAGTATGTCCTGGCCTTATCAATGCAAGCCCTGTTCCACCTGCTGTGCTTCTGGCTTTTTCTTCTGACTGGCCTCCTCAATCTTCCCATTCCTCCATATTTGCTTACTTCAGACTCCAACTGGGTTTCTGAACTAGCAGTTCCTAGAATTTTCTCACTACAATAAACATCAGAGCCCATTTGGATGTTCACGGCATATGAGTGGAACTCCCAAAAGACCACTAGTAAATCTTTCCTTTCTGACTCAAGAAAGACCACTGGAATGCAAGAAAATGGGAGCAACATTTTTAGAGGAATAATCTGCAATCTGCTCTAATTTTTGTTTTAAATTTTTATTTATTTATTTTTGGTAGTACTGGGTACTCAGTGCCTACACCTTGAGCCACTCCACCAGTCCTTTTTATGATGGGTTATTTCGAGATAGGGTCGCACATGTTTGGGCTGGCTTCGAACCATGATCCTCCTGATCATTACCTCCTGAGTAGCTAGGATTACAGGTATGAGCCACCGGGACTGGGCTTAAAAATTTAGTCTTAACTTCTGTTGCAGAACCAGTTAGAACAGCTCAAAGTCCTCAGTGTTGTATATTAAAACAAACAGAAAACTCAGAAAATAGAGAGAGGAAGACAATTGGCTAGAGATGGTGGGAGCAGAGGAATAATAGGGCCATGAGTTCTCTGGTTTTCTTCTTGTCTCATACATCCTGGACTGAGTGCTGGAGAAATGGGCAACCTAGGAACACCACAAGAGCCAATTAAAAAAAAAAATCCAAGAAATGCCTGCTGTCTTCAACCAAAGGACAAGAATGGGACAATGTAGCTATACAGAAAACTTTTAGACAATAATTGAAACCAAACACTGCAGGAAAACAAAATGTGACCTCACCTTTACCCCAGTCAGCAAAGATGAGAGCTTAGACTCCTACTTTCACGTCCACCAACATCACCATGCATGGCCCCTCTTCCATGGTCCTTGCCACCCCTCCGGGGGTGGTGTGGGACACCGATTGGGGAGTCAGAATTTTCATCACTGGCAATTGACAGAGTGATTCGCCCAAACACAATTTTTTTAAAAAGTGACCCAACCATTTACTGAGTAAAAACAGCAGTCTCAAAAGGTCACATACTGTATGATTCAATTTACATAATGTTCCTGGAATGACAAAATTATAGAAATGGAGAAGAGATTAGTGGTTGCCAGGGATCATAGATATTGGGGGATGGGGAAGGAGTGGGTGTGACTATAAAAGGATAGTATGAGGGAGATCTTTGTGATGGTGGAATAGTTTCGTATCTTGATTCTGGTGGTAGTTACAGGAACCTACATATGCAGTAAAATGGCACAGAAGGATATGCACATATCACAACAATGTCAGTTTGCTGGTTTTGATATTATGCTAAGTTACATGAGATGTAATCAGTGGAGGAAACTGGGGGAGGGGTACAAAGGACCTCTGTTCAGATTTTAAAACTTGCTATGGGTCACAATTATTTTAAAGTAAGAGGTTTTTAAAAAAAGACATTCTCCAATTCTTTACTGTTTTTTTTTTTTTTTGGTTGTTGAATTCAGGGCCTCACATACTTGAGCCACACCTCCAGCACCAATTTTGATACTTTTGATACTTTTGCTATTCATGAATGTTGCAATCCAATTATTACCAGCTCTCTGCTTTCAGGGAACATCTGGGGCAGCTCCTATTTCCCTGCCTCCTTGGAACTTAGGTAATGGCCACATGACTGAATCTGGCCATTGTGCACTAAAGAGACTCTGGGAAGGACAGAGACCCTGTACAAGATGCTGCATGCCTTCCTACTATGTCTATCACCGAGGAATGGGTTCTCCTTCGGCATGGATTCACAATGAGTGAGCACCCTCTGTGACCCTCAAGAGGCATGGAGTGCAGGATGGAAAGGAACTTACAGCACCAAGTTCCTCATACATCCTGGACAGAGTGCTAGAGAAGTGGGCAACACAGGAACACCACAGAAGCCAATTAAAAAAAAATTCCAAGAAATGCAATCAAAGAAGTACCAGGATACAGGGCTTTTGGATTCAGCCCTCTCCTACAGTACTCCAACTATTAGTTACCTGCCCTACCTTTTGCTCTGATCACCAGATACAAGGCTTTGGTGGGTTCCCAACTGTGATTCCATCTTCTGCCCAGGACTATCCTCACCATGCTGACATCCTTCACCTGACCTCATGAATGATCATCACCCAAAGGATAAAGAGACTGCCACCACCCTCCCTTTTGCACCCTCTTGTTCCTGGACCTTAGAGCAGCGTAACTATCATGACAGTAATGAGGGGCACGGGAGTTCTGAGAGGACGAAGTGCTTCCCATTCCTCAGGATGCAGCAAAAGTAACAGTAAAATAATTGTTAAATTAATGCCTGTGTGTTTTGTATGACTCCACATACTTTTATGTTACTGGACTCCTCTATAGGCAATCTGAACCATGCAGTTATCCAGGCCAAAGGCACTGCTCTCCCTGAGGCACACATCTGTGTAACTCAAGGAAACCACTGACTCCTTTGGCACAGTGGGAAATGGAAATAATGCTGGGAAAGTCTTGTCAGTGTCTTTACTTTGGATTCCCTCATCTGTTATTTCCGATACTCTGATTTGTGCCCTTTCACCCATTCCTTGTTGGCAAATCTTGACCCTGTTGTGAGCCATTCAGTTCCTTCCTACTCTCAAACATGCTTACCCTTTTCTACCCCATTTCCTGTTCTTTTAGTGGGTAAGTGCAGAAACATTTTTGAATGAATAGGAGTGGGTAGATTGGGGGTGTTGAAGAGTAAGATACAATCCGTTGTAAAGAGTGTATTTCATTACAATGTAAATGGCACACAATTTTCTATTTGTTTTAAAGGCTTTTGTTTAATTGCAAAGGATTCTGCAACCAGATTTTTAAAAAGTATTATTATCCTATGCTGAAACACAGGAAATCTTTCTTAAAAATTTAAGTTGATACACCAAAATTCACTTATTTCAAGTGCACGATTCAGTTAAAGTTTACAGTTGTACAACCATTACCACCACACACTTTTAGAACATTTCTAACATTGCAAAAAGACCTCTGCTGCTCTTTGCTTTCACTCTACAGCCCTAAGCAACCACCAAATACTATATACGGATTTGCCTTTTCTAGACATTTCAAACAATGTGCCTTTCTGCATCTGGCTTTTTCCACTTACCTTACTGTTTTTAAGGTTCCTCTAAGTTGCACCTTTGTTCCTTTTTTGAGGGGACTGGGTGTGGTACTTGGGTTTCAACTCAGGGCTTCACACTTGCTTGGTAGGGTCTCTACCACTTGAGCCATGCCTACAGTCCTTTTTGCTCTGGTTATTTTGGAGATATGATCTCAGTTTTTGCCCAGGCAGCCCTAGACAACTAGCATTATAGGAAATCAGCCATAGATGCCTGGTTACTTTGTGCCTTTTTATTCAGTAAATCCATTGTGCAGGTATACCAAAGTTTGTTTATCCATTCAGCAGTTCTTGGACATTTGGATTGTTCCTCCTTTGACTGTACGAATAATGCTGTTATGAATTATTTATGTACAAGTTGTATGTATCTTTTTTTAATTCTCCTGGGTATATATTTAGGGGTGGAATCATTGGATCACACGGTGCTTTTATGTGTATAATGATAAAAACCTGACAAACTATTTTCCATAGTGGATGCATTACATTTCCATAGTAATTTATGAGGGTTCTAATTTGTATACCTCTTCACCTGACATGTTGCCTGGGTTTTTATTTTTTTAATTGCAGGCATGGTGGTGGGTGTAAAAAGCCTTCCCATTGTGGTTTTAATTTGCATTTCCCTAGGTGACTAACTACTTGTTAATGATTTAAATCTTCTTTGGTAAAATGTCTATTCTTTTGTCCACTTTTAATTGGATTATTAGTCTTTTTTATTGAGTTGTAAGAGTTTTTTATATATTCTGGATACAAATCCTTTATCAGATATATGATTTGCAAATCTTTTCTTCCAAGATTTTTTGAGACAGTAGTTTTGAAGACTACATCTTTATTTCAAACAGATTCATTATTGATGTGGAACATTAACAAGTTAATAACTAACTTTGTTTGCAAGGATTGCATAAGCACTTTTAAAATGGTACCTTTAAGGCAGCGTGTGGTGGCATCCCAGCGCTAGGGAGGCACGCCAGGAGGATCTGGCTACATAGCAGTCAGTCTCTCGCTCTTTCTCTCTCTCTACACACACACACATACACGAAACAGTAGTTTGTACCTTTTACTTTCCAATACTGTACTTGGAAAAATGTAGATAATTACAAAATAGGATAGAAAAATTCCAGAGATAGTCTTTGGTCATTTACTTTTTCTTACCGTTTTTTGGTTTTGGTGAACAGCACACCTCCCCCCACCCCGCTTTTGCGGTGCTGGAGATCGTACTCAGGGCCTTGCACATGGCAGGAGTCCTCCATCACTAAACTGCACGCCCAGTTTATAGGCCATACATTTAAAGTTTAAGATGTGGCCACTTAGATAACACAAACGAAAGTCTCTTATCATTGCAGCTCTTGGTTGCCAAGCAGAAAGAAACCTTTAAATGGCTTAAGAAGAAAATTAGTAAGAGAGGGCGGGCAATGCCTATGTGCTTGTACTCTTCAGGGTGGGATATGCCTCGGTATGGAGAATTGGTAAGGAGCGCTTTCCAGGGGAAATAGTGGAAAGGCCTTCTCAGAGCACTGCACATCCCCAAACTGTCCCTATCCTGCGTGGGGCCCTGGCCTCCTACGGTCCCCCGAGGCCCGGCCGCGTCTTCCGGCGGTGCTGGCCGATGGCCTCCGCTCTCACCGCCCCCCTCGGTCCTGGACCTCGTGCATCCCGGCCTCGTGCCAGACGCGGCACCCCCGACCGCCCTCCCGCTCCCACGGTCCTTGGACCTCACAGGTGGCTGCGCTCGCGGTGGGGGCGGCCTGGTGCTCGGCGCGGTGAGGGCGCCTCCATTTTCTCCCCCCAGCGGACTCGACGCGCAGCGGTCCGAGTTTGATTTTACTTGCAGCCTTTGTCCGTACGCAGGTTGGGGAGGGGGCGGGGGGGAAACCTCGGTGCAGACCTCGCTGTCGGGGCCCGGCCTCGTCTCGGCGGTTCCGCGCCTCCCCGCGGCTCGGGCAGGAAGAGACAGCCACGGCAACTCGCCAGAACGGCCAGGGTCCGGAGGCAGCCGGCGGCCGCGAGGGGGGCTCGCCGCGGGGGAGGGGCCGGCGCATCCGGGTGAGCGCGCGGCGCCCCCGCCTCCCCCGCGCAGCCGCACGGGCCGCCACGCCGCGCACGCCGTGCGGACCGCGCCCGAGCGGCCTGCGGGGCGGCCCTGCGGCCTGGCCCCCCGCGCTCCGGGGGCTCCGAGCGAGCGGCGACAGCCGCGGTATGCAGGACGGCCCCGACTAGCGCGCCGAGCCCCGGGAGGCCTGGCGCGGAGGCGGGGGCGGGCGCGGCGGAGGCGGAGCCCGCTCGGGGCCCGCCCGCCCGCCGGGGGAGCCGCCGGCAGTGGCCGAGGAGGCGGCGCGGCGGACGGCGGCCCGAGAGTAGCGCCCGCGCTGCGGCCCGCGGGACCGCGCCGCGACCGCCCGGGCTCGGCCCGGAGGAGCGCCCGCCGCTGCCGCCGCCGCGCGCTTGGAGCGAGGTGAGTGTCCGCCTGTGCCCGGGCCGTCCGGGGCCGCGGCCGCCAGCGCGGGGCCGGAGCAAGAGGCGGAGGCCCGACCGCCCCGCGTCCCCGGCCCTTTGTGGCCGCTCTGCCCTGGGCCGGGGCGCGGGGTCCCGGGGCGGGGGCCCCGGGGCCGCCGGACACGCGGCGTCCTGGATTGGCTGCGGCGAGCTGCGAGTTTCCGTCCTAGTTTGACATTGAGTTAGAACCGTTTTTTTCTTCTTTAGAAGACGGAAGTTTGTTTTATTGACCAAAATACAGCTAAATATGGCTTCTGGGTTCGGCCGTGTGCTACTTGGAGCAACGGTACCGGCCTGACCCTCGCCGGGCGGGCGCGACGGGGGAGGGGCGGACACGCCGGCAGCCGGGGGCGGGGGCTTCCCGGCCCGCTTCCCCCCGAGAGGACCCGGGCCCGAATTGGCCAAGGTCTGTGCTGGGAAAGTAGCGGGCTTTAGGTAAGGTGGCAGACGTTCCTGGAAGAATGAATGAAGAGATGCCACTTACTCACCCAAAATACAATTAATGCCCGTGTAAGGATTTACCAGGAATTGTGATGACTTGCATTGTCATTCTCTCTCTTACCTGGTGAAGCGACCCCCTCCCACCCCCCAGTTTATGACCTTGGCCTAATTCTCAAAGCCACTGAGCATACCAGCCCTCAACCAAGTGTGGGCAGTAGGCAGAGTAGTTTCTGTGATTGCGAACTGTTTGCGGAGGGCAGAGAATGTCACCTTAATCATACTTTACGTTTAATAATACATTGCTTTCTGATAATTCCAGTCGAGAGCCCTGAGACCTAGGAGGCCCTGTCCTATCTTCACAGATGAGGAAGTTGAGGCCCTAAGAACTTAAGCTTTTCAGGTCACATGCTAAGCATCAGAGTTGGGATTCAAACCTGGTCTTGGCATTAGTCTGGCGCTTTTTACGTCACGTCTGTGTCTAAACCTAGTTTGTCCAGTGTGGAAGCCACTAACCACAAGTGGTTAACTCATCGGTCACTAGCCACATTTTAAGTGCTCAATAGCCAAGTGCGGTAGGTGCTATAATTGAATAGTGCTGGTAGTGACCGTGCATCGATTTATTTATTTGATAAATATTTGTTGAGTGCTATCTGTCTAGTTTTTAAGTCCTGGGTATACTGTTGTGAGTAAGAGAGACAGAATGCCCCTGCATTTTACAGAACAGTTTGAGGTTGCTTGCTATTTCAAGCCTCTGATATGGGGCCCCAACCCATATCAACTGAATTAGTATTTTTTTGCTTTAGCAAGACTCTGGGTTATTTGCGTGTATTTTGGAATCTGAGAATCCTTTATTCAAAATGCCAGTGATAATTGGGCTTGATGAATGTTCTGATGGTTTGTTTGGTACCTCTTTTAAGCAGCAGACTGTAACTGTTGGGAACATTCATCAGCTGTGGAAATACTAGTTAAGTGCCTTGCTTCCTCAGTGGAGTTTAAGCTTTAGAAGAGCAGAGGTTGTAGCTTTCTTTTCTAGCCAAGTATCCCTAGAGACTTTACACTGTCTGTTAAGCAGTAGGCGCTCAATAAATGCTTGCTGAATATAAATGAATGAACTGCTAGGATAGTTAAAACTGGTTGTGAATCCCAGGCTCACATGGCATCAGGTGAGCTCATGGGACCAGAGTTAGAGTGAAGATGATCTGTTGTAGCTCTTCAGTTAGAAGCCCTAGCTACTTTTGCTTCTGGTATGTCCTGTCTCTCTCCTTTCTCCTCTCTCTTTCCCCCTCTCTCCTCTCTCCTTTCTCCTGTCTCCTCTTTCCTCTCCTCTCCTCTTCTCTCTTCCCTTCGCTTCGCTTTGCTTCTCTTCTCTCAGAATTTTTTTTTTTTTTTTGATAGTTTGAACTCAGGGCTTCACACTTGCTAGGTAGTCACTCTGCTGCTTGAGCCACGCCTCTGGCCCTGTTTTTTTTATTTTGAGATAGGGTCTCACTGTGTAACCCAGGTGGACCTGGAATTTACCATCTTCCTGCCTTATCCTCCAGAGTGCTGGGGTCACAGCTATGGGTCATAGTGGCAAACTCTTTAATAAAAAAATCATATTAATTAATTTGAATATTAATCTTTTTTGGGGGGATGTTGAACTGGGATTTGAACTCAGGGCTACTTGCTGCCTCTGGCCCATTTTGCTGTGGTTATTTTGGAGATGGGGGGGTAGTCTCATGAACTGTTTGGCTCGGCTGTCCTCACACCTTCATCCTTTCAATCTCAGCCTCCCAAGTAGCTAGGATTACAGACGTGAGCTTCCTGACACCTGACTTACTTTCCTTTCTTTCTTTCTTTCTTTCTTTCTTTCTTTCTTTCTTTCTTTCTTCCTTTCTTCCTTTCTTCCTTTCTTCCTTTCTTCCTTTCTTCCTTTCTTCCTTTCTTGGCAAAACCCCAAAAACTCCAGACTGCATTTAGTCATCACCAGTTTTTCCATTAATATCATCCTTTTGGGGCTAGGACTTGGTGGTAAAGAACTTGTCTAGTGCACACAAGGCTCTAGGTTCAAAGAAAAAAAAAAAGTCCTTTTGTTCCAGGATCCAATCCAAGGTACTATCTTGTATTTAGGCATCATGTCTCTTTAGTTCTTGGCCTGTGACACTTTGTCTGTCTACTTGTTTTTCATAACTTTTGTAGCTTGGAGGAGTACTGTATACTGGTTTTCTTTCCTTTCCTTTCCTTCCTTTCGCTTTTTAGATAGGGTCTCACTAGGGTTCTCTCTTTCTGCCTCGTTCCTGGCTACTGTGTCTGCAGACATGTACCACCATGCCTGGCTCTGTTTTTTTTTTTTTTTTTTTATGAATAGCTTCTATATACAGATAGGATCATCATCCAGTTCTGGGAAAAGGCTCTAATTCTCAGAAAAGGCCATAGTAGGAATAACCCCATTTCTGCTCTTACTTGTTATGTAATACATAATTTCTCTTTCTTAGGTGACAACATACAATATTAGTACTTTGTTTTCAGTAATAGACTTTTTGGATACAGTTTATAATTGAGATTTGGAAGCGTTACAACAGTGTATGTGTACTGCAGCTTTAAACTGTACTGAGTTTTAGTTTTATGATGAATTAAGAAAAGGGGAGAGATCAGATATAGTAGCGGTGTAAGTCAAAGAGGGAGGGACCAAGTGAAGGGTGTGAAAGAAAATAGAGGTAGCTGCATAGAGTAGGAGTGGATACTTGTTCATTTATTCAGTTAATATCTGAGTGATCAATGTATGCCAGACCCAGTGCTAGACTCAATCAAGATCATTGGGAGGCAGGACAACATTAAACATACAGATAAGTTCATCCTAATGACTGGAGCTTGGGATGAGTGCAGTAAAGTAAAGAATGCTGAAGAGACCTGATGGTAGAAGGTAGGGGTAGGAGTAAGGTATGTGGCTTGGGAAGGTTGCTGCTGCATTTAGTTGACTGGGTTGGTGAGGAAGGTGTCTGTAAGTGGCATTTGAACTCCTGTGTCTTGGTTTGGGGACCATTTCTAATTGCCTTCAACCTGCTTATCCCATTTTTGTTATTTCATAACACAATGCTTCTTTGTCAATGGGCATGGTGCTTATTTCTGTCTCTGTCTTTATATATGATTTCTTCTCTTCCTAAGATGTCTCCTTTCAATCTGTATTTGTGGAAGTGTTTTTTTGTTGTTGTTGTTTTGGTGGTACTGGGGTTGAACTCAGGGCTTTGTGCTTGCTAGGCAGATGCTCTAACACTTGAGCCATTCTGCCAGTCCTTTTATTTTGGTTATTTTTGAGATTGGGTCTTGTTTTATGCCTCAACTGGCTTGCATCATTATCATCCTTTTTGTGCTTTCCTGAACAGCTGGGGATGACAGATACCCACCACTGCCCCCAGCTGTTGGTTGAGATGATGACTTTTTTAACTTTTTGCCCAGGCTGGTCTTGAATCACAACCCTCCAGATCTTTGCTTTGCAAGTAGGTAGGATTATAGGCACGAGCCACTCTGCCAGGCTGAAGGCTGCTTCTTGTTCAAATATTTGATCACTTTCCATCTTTTTTATGAGGCCTTCATTGTTGTTTTATGCCTGTTTGTTACTTTACTTGAGTGTGTGGTGTTTGAGAGTACAGATAATACTTTACCTTTGTATTTGTGTGTCTTCACTTAACTCAGCATAAAGGATTAATACAGAGCTACCAGGGAGACCTGAAGTTCACATTTGGGAAGGTCTAGATTTTTAAAATTGAACTTCATTTTGAGATAATTGTAGATCCACATGCATTTATAAGGGATAATTCAGGAAGGTCCCTTTCACCCAGTTATTCCCAATGGAATCATCTCAAACTGTAGTTCAGTAGCAGACCCATGATAGTGACGTCGTTACAGTCAAGGTACAGAACATTTCCACCTCCACAGATTTTCCTTGGATTCCTTTTTTATGACCACTCTGCTTCTCTCCCACCTCCACCCCATCCTTAAGCCCTAGCTGTCACTAGCCTGCTATTTTATAAAAGGAATCATTTTATAAATGGGATCATGCAGTAGCTTTTTAAAAATTCAGCATAATTCTCCGGAGATTAACCCAGGTTGTTACATGTATACATAATTGCTTTGCTTCCTTTTTTTTTTTGGCGATAGTGAGGTTTGAACTAAGGGTCTTGTGCTTGCTAGGCAGACACTTTACCATTTGAGCCTTTCCTTCCTTTTTATTGCTGAATAGTGTTTCATAGTGTGGACGTACTTTTCTGGCTCTTTTAACCGTTTATCTGTTGCACATCTGGTTATTTCTGTTTTGTTGGCTATTACAAATCAAACTGCTATAATCATTCCTGTATAGGTTTTTATGTAAACATAAGTCTTCATTTCTCTGGAATAAAAGTACAGGAGTACAAATACTGGGTTGTGGCAGTTGTTTGGATAGATTTTTTCTTTTGTTTCTTTTTTTTTTTTTTCCAACTGTAGTTATTTTTCAGGTAGAGTATTGTGTTTTTACCTGGACTAGCTTACATAGCATGAGCC